AAAAAAAAAAAAAAAAAAACAATATAAGTTCAAAAATTCAAAGTTAACAAGATTATAAATAATAATGCTTAGTTGACGTAGCAAAGATCGAAATCACTGATTTAATTAGATAAGTATTTATCTAAATAATTGCCAAATTTATGTAGTTTTATAAAATCAACAGATAAAAAAAAAAAGAGGGGACAGGTAGAAAAATTTATATAGCTGATTTTTTAGAATCATTAATATTTATCATCATAACTTTGAAAAGAGTAGCATCTTTAGAAGATTGAGTAAATGATAATACCTTCAAAAACTATATATACATCTATCACGATTAAATGCATTAATACCAGCATAAATATCTTCATTAAGATATAAACCCTTTTGAGCTTTAGATATATCTATTTGAAATTGTATAAAGTTAAAAGTATTGAAACAATTAATATAAATAATCAATATAAAAATAATCAGCATAAAAATAATTAACCTATTGATGATGAATTGGGTGTTACTTTTGGTGATTTATAATTGTTAACTGTCAATTATGTCAATCCAATAAGTAGCTTGTTAACTTGGTCATTAATCACACTTAAGAGTAAGGAAATATAGCATATTCTATATATTTCATTATTCTTAAGTCGATGATAAGTCAATTACAAATAAACTAACAATACTACTTACAAAAAGAATAACTTGACTAACTTAGTTGTTCGAACATAACTATTACTATAATATTAGTCTTGTACTAATACATAATCAAACGTAGTATTTTAAATTAATCACCTTTTTTATCTACAAAAGTAATATTAAAAAGATATTAATATTAAGCATTAAAACTTTTAAATTCATCTCTGAGTATACTCACGTTTCATAATATAGATTTGTATTTGGATTAGTAAAGAAGCTTTTTTTTACATTGAATTGTATTTTAATATATCTGGAAGTAACATGATGTCTACCAAAACCTTTTATTGTTTCTTGAAACCAATCTACTACAAATTCTGGTTGCTTTGCTGTGTTTCTTTCTAAAGTTATAACAGGAGAAGGGCCTTCATTATCGATAGTATCTTGATTTTTTTTTTTAAGTACTTTTTTGGCTACTTTTTTTGCAATTAAAGCATCTAATGCTGGAACTGAATCTTCAATAGTCATTTGGATAAATAATACAATGTAAGAAACCTGATTGCACTTATAATATCGAACACCCCAACATTGGTCACCCAATAATGAACTGAGAGTTTGATATGCATTTTAGCCTGAAAAAACACACTTATACACTTTTTGTTAACAAATACACGTGTCAAATGTTGCTTGAAAAGCCCCAAATATTGACCCTCCATACATAGAAACTTGATTACTTGTTTTTTAGTTTTTCAAAAAGTAAGAGAAAGCCATTTGTGAATGGCATATACTAGCATTTTCTTCCATTCATTAATAGCATTTTCAGACAAAAAATAATGTTGAAGAGGTGGTATTTTATAATTGCTATGTATAGCATTTTCATGTCGTGAAAGCCCTGCTGAGGATTTGTACATTTTTTTTACACAGAGTATATTCGAAAGATCTACTATGAGTTGATCAAGGTATTAAAAAGAGCTTTGCTTATTGTATAAAAAATATTAGTATTATATATATGTAGTAAGTTAAAATTTTGCTATAATCTCTATTTTCTTTACTTATTATACGTTTTGCATGATTCAGTTCATTGGCAATCCAGGTGGGTTCATTGGTTTAACGCCAAAACTATATACAAAATTTTAATTTTTAGTGACCAAAATAAAATTTTTGGGCCTTTTTTGTGGTTATTAATTATAATTTTGGGGTGCAAATTTTAGGTAAAATACACATATTGGCTGATATGATAGTATTGTGCACACATTAACAGCACATTACTAGCCTTGACTATCAGTATTCAGATCCTGTCTTAGAAACTAGCAGAATTTTGTCAAGATTTTATCTTGTCAAGATTTTATCTTGTTAGAATTTTATCTTGTCAAGATTTTATCTTGTCGGGATTTTATCTTGTCAAGATTTTGAACTAGTAGAATTTTGTCTTAGTTAGCATTTTGATTTGTTGAGATTTTATCTTGGGATTTTTTTTTATCTTGTCAGAAATTTATTTTGTCAGGGTTTTAACTTGTCAGGATTTTAACTTATTGGAAATTTATCTTGTCAGAAATTTATCTTGTTGGGAATTTATCTTATAGGAATTATGTATATCAGGATTAGGTTTGACAGGATTTGTGCTATTGAGATTTTGGATGTTGGGATTTTGTGGTAGATCCATAAGAGGTCTAGTTTTTATACCTTTCAAATTATTACTCATACTACCTGCAGATTTAACTTTTTTTAAACTTTGAACAAAGATATCTCAGTAATTACCAAGCCAAATTTAATAAACTTTTTTTTCTTTGAATTCTATAGATTCATAGAATTCAAATAAAAAAAAGTTTATTGAATTTGGCCCAGTAGTTACTAAGATATTTTTACTCAAAGTTTGAAAAAAATCAAAACGTCTATCAAAACAAACAATATAAATTTTTTTTTAAACTTTGAGCGAAGATATCTTAGCAACTACTAAGTCAAATTTGATGAACTTTTTTTTTGTTTGAATGCTATGAATCTATAGAATTCAAATAAAAAAAAATTTATTGAAATTAACTTGGTGGTTGTTGAAATATCTTCGCTCAAAGTTTTAAAAAATTTAAAATATCTATCAAAACCAAAATTTTTTCTCAACTTTGAGTGAAAATATCTCGACAACCAGCAAGCAAATTCAATAAACTTTTTTTTGTTTCAATTCTATGTATTCATAGAATTTAAACAAAAAAAAGTTCATCGAATTTGACTTTGTAGTTATCTAGATATTTTCACTCAAAGTTGGAAAGAAATTTTGGTACAGCTTCTGTTTTGATAGATATTTTAAATTTTTTTAAAACTTTGAGTGAAGATATCTCTACAACTACCAAGTCAATTTCAATATTTTTTTTTATTTAAATTCTATAGATTCATAGCATTCAAACAAAAAAAAGTTCATCAAATTTGACTTAGTAGTTGCTAAGATATCTTCGCTCAAAGTTTAAAGAAAATTTTATATTGTTTGTTTTGATAGATATTTTGATTTTTTTCAAACTTTGAGCAAAAATATCTCAGTAACTACTGGGTCAAATTTAATGAACTTTTTTTTATTTGAATTCTATGAATCTATAGAATTCAAAAAAAAAGTTTATCAAATTTGGCTTGGTAATTACTAAGATATCTTTGCTCAAAGGTTAAAAAAAGTTAAATCTGCAGGAGGTATGAATAATAAATTTGGGGGTATAAAAACTGGCCCCTATATATAATTAAGATTTAAAAAGTTTTTCAATAAGATAATCTTTTTGGTCTTCTAATTAAAATTGTAGAGCTATTTTTTCTGGTTCTAATAGTTTTT